CTCTCTCTCTCTCTCTCTCTCTCTCTCTCTCTCTCTCTCTCTCTCTCTCTCTCTCTCTCTGCAGTGTCACAGGTACTAACCTGCAGAAAGGTGGCGCCTTGATGCAGGTACGGACGTGCTGAAGACGAAGCTGGAGCTATGGTGTCGCAGGTAAGTTCTCAGGTGAGTCCCCTGGCCTCCGCCCAACACCGCACTACTCCCCACTCCTGCTGCTGCAGAGCTGATGCCGTCAACCTCCGCCTCCGTGCTATACTCAAGTGCTACTGCGCCCAGCGCGTCAACTACTGAAGACTACAAGTACTACCTACGGACTCAGTGGTCGGCCAGCTATATATTGCGCCGGTTTGAGGTGAGTCCATCCTCAAAAGTGCTGGTGCCCAAATTGGCGCTCTCAAAAAGTGCCTGGCGCCAGATGGCGCCAGAACCTGGACAGGGCCAGGGCCTGAAGTGGGGTCCTGCTGCGGGCCTGCTGCTGAACCGACATAGGGGGCCTAACCTCGGCCTCTACTATGATACTGGTCCTAAAATGGACCGGTAACGGGCCTAATCTGGCCTGCTGACCCTCTGGGCCCTACTACGGGCCGAAACGATGCCTGTCTACAAGGGGCCCTAACCCCTACTAACCCCTAATCCAACCCGTCGGGCCCTGCAGGGACCGTGTGGGACTGAGTATGACGCATTGCACCTCCGGACCAAAATGGCTGGCGCTGCCAGTCAAAACAAAAGAAGAAAAGATCACGCTGGCGCTTCGACAAAGCTTGGCGCACAGTTGTTCTCCGCATCGGCAAAAAGAGGCTCGGAGGTAGTGGTGGTTTTAATTTCATGCAGAAGTATAGAGATTGAAAAGTTTTAAGTTTCAACCCTTAAGTTCAAAGTTTGAAGTTCAAATGCTTAAAAGTAGTTCAAAAGTTCAAACTACATCATCAAGAAATGATCTTGTAAATGTCTTTCGGGACATCCGTTAAAATTGGAACAATACAGAGAATATTAGCATGTCCCCTGCACAAGGATGACATGCATAAATCGAGAAATAGTCCACATTTTTGTTTCCTTCTCTCACCTTAGCTTTCCAGCTGTCAACAACAACAACAACAACAACAACAACAACAACAACAACAACAACAACAACAAAAAAAAAAAAAAAAAAAAAAAAAAAAAAGAAAGAAAGAAAGAAAGAAAGAAAGAAAGAAAAAGTGTCCATATTATGATATTTCTCCATAACTAATCATATGTAATGGAAGTTATTACTCTTCAAATTTACAGGGGGAAAAGCGGGAGGGGGGGAAAAAAAGTTAAAAAAACAACAAAAAATGCAAGAGCTGCAAAAGGCTGTTTTGGGGTGGATGAGCAGCAGTTGCATTACCAGTCCTTGAGAACATTTCTCGTCAAATGTGGTTTGAAGGATGTGGCCTGGCTTCGGGAAAATACTCCTTGAAAGTAGAGAAAAATGGAAACCTTACAAGCCAGACAAAACATAAAATGCCAAAACAGGAAAATTCAAAATTCCTTCTCTTTAATGCCAAGTCTTTCACCATGCCTGCCTGTTATGGGCTGTGTTGTATACAGCACTATTTTTTGGTTCTATTTCTTTTCAAATATACACAGCCCAAACAAAACCGTAATCAAGAGTTCAAATGCTGTCCAAGAGCATACTCACACCAGGACTCTCTCGACTAAGCTCTCGGACGAAATTGCGGTCAGATACGCCCAGGTCAATGTGGGATTCTGGTCAGGTACATGCAGGAAAGAGCACCAAGGGTATGCCTTAACACTAGCACCAAGGGTTTCCCTCCTTTTAAACCACCTGGTCACCCAAAGCAGAGCATGGTTCTTATCGGTATACTCAGTAAACGCGTTTCGATTCGGGAAAGGGCCGGTAGCGAAAGCAGCAGGCCAATTTGAAAAGGCGCAGTCAGAAGCTCGCAAGCCTTGGAAGGTAGCTCTGTCAACATAGGCTCATGTGAACTGGTGGTTTAAAAAA